GGGGAGGGGAGGGGAGGGGGGGACTGATTGGTGCAATTGGAAGCCGCGATAAGACCCAGCCATTACGGGCAAGATACAAAAAAAAAAAAACACACACACACAAAAAAACACATTCCAGTTTGGTACTTTTTCTTATGTTTGAACACAACCCGTGTTGTAGAGCTGTAAGAAATTCGAATTCTGAAAACACGATACGATATCGACCACATATCGCTCGTATCACGATAGCATGTCGAACACATTGCATATTTTAACCCGGAAAAACATGGTAAGTTGTGTAGCTAAACCAACAGCCTCGCTAACAGCCAAACGAGGGGCGGCAAATTCTTTAGCTGCGCAGTTAAAAATTTAGCTAAAAAAGTTAGCTAATGAGCTAAAAATTAAGCTGCGTGTAGCTTTGTTTACCTACATAGCTAAATTATTTTGCGACACAGCTGAATTCCTGGCCAAATAATTAATTAATCCCCCGTATTTATAGCTACTGCGTAGCTAAGTATATCAGCTAATTTTGCCGTTGTCCTCAGCTTCTCGCCGGCGCAGCTGGACGAGGCGGTGCGCCGCACCAACATGGAGTTCGGCGCTGCCCGCCCCGACATCCGGCGCGTCGTGTTCGTGCACGGCCAGGACGACCCCTACGCCGCGCTGGGCGTCACCGAGGACATCGACGGCGACCTGGCGCCCGTCGTCGAGATCCCGGGTAAAGGCCACCCCAGAATCTATCCTCACGCCAAATCCTTATGAGCTTCTTGTGTGTGTGCTACTGCTGTGCATAGTTTTTTGTTCGTTATTACGGACTAGATGTGAACAGTATGACTGTTTTGTCTGTTAAAATGTTCCCAAATTGCCGCTAGAATAACACACGCACAGAAATTCATAACTAAGCATACTGAGCATAAAAATTGTACACAAGAATTTCATGACGCTCAGGACTTTTGAAAGCATTTCTTTTTCCTTTTCACACATAACAATAATATGTTTTGTAACAGATGTAATATGCTTTATTCGGCAGGTGCTCGGCAGTGCAAGGACCTGGAAAAGTCGTCGGAAGATGACAAGCAGGGCCTCAAGGAGGCGCGCGCCAAGATAGTAGACCACCTCAAGAAATTCCTCAACATGTCATAATAGTAATTAGCCGCAAAAGTAAATAATAATAGCAATAGCTGTAATAATTAGTATAGTGAGCAAAACGTTTCAAATTAATAAAAGTTTTTATAACGACTTCGTACAAAATGTACTATTATAAATCGACAGCTCACATCGTCTGCGCGCAGTTTGAACACGCGACTACCCAAAGCGCACAGGGGCGGACCAGGGGGCGGCAGAGGGGGAAGAGGGGGCAGAGGAAGCGCAAGCGACGAGCTCAAAGTACCAGTCAGAAGTACTTTCGCCCCCCGCTAGGCTAAGAGTGGTGAAGTGGAAAAACGCCATGCATATGAGATGGCGTCGCGCCCCTCCTCCTGCTGCCATGGCCTGCGTGCCAGGTGCCAGGTGTCTTGTCGCGACACGCTTGTGTGTGGGGGGCGGGGAAGGGGTAAGGGGGGGAGGGCAGTAGCGAATAAATAAATACATAATAAATCAGTACCTGCTGAAGCTAGTACCAGCGAGTCGGGTCCTCACGCTTGTGCCACGAGGCACCCCTGACCCTCCAGGAGACCGTCCCATTGACGCGTAGGGTAGGTGACGCTCCCGCCTAACTTCCTCTTTCCCTGACCCCCCC